CCATGCCTGTCCTGAACAGTACTGCCTAGGTTTCCTTCTAAGGTTTTTATGGTTTTAAATCTTATGTTTAAGTCTTTAATCCATCTTCAGTAAATTTTTGTATAATGTGAAAGGAAGGGGTCCAGTTTCAGTTTTCTGCATATGACTAGTCAGTGTTCCCAACACCATTTATTATAAATAGAAAATCCTTTCCCCATTACTTGCTTTTGTCAGGTTTGTCAAAGGTCAGATGGTTGTAGATGTGTGGTGTTATTTCTGAGGCCTCTTTTCTGTTCCATGGATCTGTATATCTGTTTTGATACCAGTACCATGCTATTCTTGTTATTGCAGCCTTTTAGCATAGTCTGAAGTCAGGTAGCGTGATGCCTCCAGCTTTGTTCTTTTTGCTTAGGATTGTCTTGGCTATATTGGCTCTTATTTTCATTCCAATACTATGAAGAAAGTCAATGGTAGCTTGATAGGGATAGCATTGAATCTACAAATTACTTTGTTTTCTTTTCCCTCATGTGTCACATCAGAGGGTACCTGATGTTGCTGTGTCTTGTTTGTAGGTGATATTAACTTGATCACAAAGTTCATGCAGTATCTGCCATGTTTTTATATGGGAAAGTTATTAGTGTTATTTTTTTGGTGTTCCTAACTTACTTACTCTTCTCTTCTCTTCTCTTCTCTTCTCTTCTCTTCTCTTCTCTTCTCTTCTCTTCTCTTCTCTTCTCTTCCCTTCTCTTCTCTTCTCTTCTCTTCTCTCTCTCTCTTTCTCCCTCTATTTCTTTTGATGGACTCTGGTTCTGTTGCCAAGACTGAAGTGCAGTAGTGCAATCTCTGCTCACTGCAAGCTCTGCCTCTTAGGTTCAAGAAATTCTTATGTCTCAGCCTCCTAAGTAGCTGGTATTCCAGGCATGCACCACTATGCCCAACTAATTTTTTTTTTTTTTTGCATTTTTAGTGGAGATAGGATTTCACCACATTGTCCAGGCTGGTCTTGAACTCTTGACCTCAGGTGATCCAACCACCTTGGCCTCCCAAAGTGCTAGGATTACAGGCATGAGCCACCATGCCCAGATGGTGGTATTAACTTTCATAGGTCAGGCATACTTTGGAGACAGCCCATTGAGTTTATGTCAATGTCCTGAGCCTTTTCAGAATTCTGCTTAGAGATTTTAGGCTCCTTGGAAGATTCTTGTCTGCAACAGTGATTCCTGTATTTCTTGCTTCAATGTGATTCTTATTTCTCTCATTCTTTCTACATTTATTAATTGGAAATCTTCCTTAAGGATGACTGGTCCCTTTTTCTACACTTGTTTATTCATTCAGTTGTTTATTTCTGTCTGTATAGACTTGCTGATACTTACTTTATTGTATGGCTTCTAATTTAATACTATCAATACTCACTTTCTAGCTAAGATGCTTTCAGGTCTGGCCATTGGGAGCTCCTTGAGATGGGCTCCTGTGTCCTTCCAGCTTGCTCCATTTTTTAGTGAGCACCTCTTTGCTTCTGTAGACTGTTGTGGAAGTGGTCACCAAAGAAATGAACCCAGCAAGCCAAGCCTGACTCCAGGACATAATTGAAGGAGAGCTCACACAAGGACTAAAGCGTATTTTTCATAATATGGACTTGGACATCTGGTGTGTAGAGGAGCGACGCTGCTAACCATCCTACTATGCACAACCTGCCTTCCTAAAAAATTATCCACCCCAAAATATCAGTAGTGCTGAGGTTGACAGCCTCTGGCTTTTACCCTGCCTATTAGATCTGGAGATCTAAGAGAATTGGGGATGCCTCATGGGGTCTTTTAACCAAATATGAATGAGATCACATCTACGTGTATGGAATGCAGTCAGAGATCCATAGAAATAAAAATGGTCTCAGTTTAGTCAAGAAAAGTAATGAAACTTTCTGAGAAAAGTTCTCTCTCTGTTTCTTTCATTTCAGAGGCAGAGTCTTACTGTGTCCCCCAGTCTGGAGTGCAGTGGCAGGATCATGACTCACTGCAACCTGAAGCTCCTGGACTCAAGAGATCCTCATGACTCAGACTCCTGAGTAGTTAGGACTAGAGGTGTGCTCCACCAGCCTAATTTTTTTTAATTTTAATTTATTATTATTATTACTATTATTGAAGAACAAGGAACTTGCTACATTTCCCAGGCTGGTCTCAAACTCCTAACCTCAAACCACCATCCCACCTCAGCCTCCCAAATCATCAGAAGGGTTTTCTAAAAATGCCACTCAGTAGACACATTTATTTCTTCAAAAATACTTTTCTAGGTGATCACAGAGGTGTAGTTTTAGAACTTTATTAACAAAAAGCAGAAAATGTCCCCAGACTCACCAGAAACTAGATAATAACAGGTCTTTTCTAAAATTTTTATCAGAAAGTACAGAAGAAATAAAGGATATTTCAAGTTCCAATAAATCACAAGCTGTTTGTTTTATCGAAGACTCAATTTTATATCCACATATTTGTGATTAATGAAATCTTTTTAGGCAGCTTTTCATTTTTGGTCAATCCTAATGGAACATATGCATTTGGATTTCCTTGGTGTCCAGAGAAGAGTGCATTTTTTTCTATACTTTACAGAACATAGCATTTATAACGTTGAAGGGGTACCTCAATGTCAAAGGTAACTACTATTTCTCTTTCTTGCCATTTTATTGTTTCATAATTCCTCTCTCAGGTTTGAAATCATCTGGAAATGAAAAATTATCACATACATAGCAAGAATTATGATATTGTATAGAGATCAGGAATGATTTATATATAATTCTAACATCATTAAAATATTAGGATGGGGCCAGGCACTGTGGCTCACGCCTGTAATCCTAGCACTTTGGGAGGCCAAGACAGGCAGATCACTTGAGGTCAGTAGTTTGAGACCAGCCTGTCCAGGTTTTTAGTAGAAACCCTGTCTCTACTAAAAACACAAAAATTAACCAGGTGTGGTGGTATTTGCCTGTAATCCCAGCTACAAGAGAGGCTGACACAGGACAATCACTTGAAGGGCGGAGGTCACAGTGAGCCATGATCACTCCATTGCAATCCAGCCTGAGGAGCAAGAGTGAAACTTTGTCTCAAGAAATAAAGAAAAAAAAGGAAAAAATAATTAGGGTAAAAATTTGGAAAAATATAGAAGAAACCAAATGGATATCTAGCTCAATTAAATCGTAGTTATTCAGTGTCTTTTTTTTTTTGCCAGAAAACATATATTTCATGTCCACAATCAGGACCATGGTCCCAGCTCTCAAGTGTGGGTGTCTCCAAGCAAATTGAAGAACACAAGCATATAAGCGCATTAAATTAACAGCTCTCTCTCTCTCTCTCTCTCTCTCTCTCTCTCTCTCTCTCTCAAGTCGGAGTCTCACCCTTTTGCCCAGGATGAAGTGCAGTGGTGTGATCTGAGCTCACCACAACCTTTGCCCGCCAGGGTCAACCGATTCTCCTGCCTCAGCCTCTAGAGTAGGTGGAACTACAGGTGTGCGCCACTATGCCCAACTAACTTTTGTATTTTTAGTAGAGACAAGGTTTCCTATTTTGGCCAGGCTGGTCTTGAACTCCCGACCTCAGGTGATCCGCCTACCTCAACCTCCCAAAGTGCTGGGATTACAGGCATGAGTCACCGTTCCTGGTCTTTTTTTTTTTTTTTTTTTTTTTTTTTTAGACAGAGAGTCTCCCTCTCCAAAAAAAAATAATAATAATAATAATAATAATGTGTAGCGAGCTAAGCAGTGATGGAGTCACATTAAGCCTGGTCCCGTGGTTGGGGTGTCAGAAAGTAGAATGGAAGCTGCACCCACATCTGCACCAGAGACCGCCCAGGTCCTTTTGTGAACCTACGCACAGCGCCCTCTGGAGGCAGCTGCGGGTTTATTATCACTGCTTCAGTCATGGAATATTGTCCAAGGGGTCAGCAACCCTCACCGACAAGTAAAGCCAGGTCCGGAACAAATCCTTTAAATTACAATGGGGGTGGCAGAGTAATTTCAAAAGATTTTAAACGTAACTACAAGTTGTGAACTATTATCATGACCTACTCATCTCTATGAATCTCAAAAATATTTAGGAGGGACATGGTGGGGGTTATGCCAGTAATCCCAAAACTTTTGGAGGCAGAAGCAGAAAGGTTGCCTGGGGTGTGTGAGCCCTGCCGCCAGGGCCCGGTTGGGGTTGCGCCAGGAGCTGTCCATGGTTCTGAAACGATGCCGGTGGGGGGGCGCGGGCTGTGACTGGGCGAAAGAGCGCTGTCCTTAGTGCTGAAGAGGTTCCTGGGCCCCGGCAGCGGTGCCTAGGAGGCCGGCAGCCCGAAGACCACCAGGTAAAGAATCCTGGCGGAGGCTACGCTTGCAGCAGCTGCTGATGCTCCCACAAGCAGCAATTCTCCGCGCTCAGCTCCGTCGAGCCGCCGCTCCAGCTCGTCGACGCTGTGGCGCTGTGTGTGGACAAGGCTCTGCTGGTTCTTTTTCCTTTTTCTTTTGACAGAGTCCCGTTCTGTTGCCAGGCTGGAGTGCAGTGGCACGACCTCAGCTCACTGTAACCTCCGCATCCCAGGTTCAAGCGATTCTTCTGCCTCAGCCTCCCGAGTAGCTGAGACTACAGGCGCGTGCCACCACTACCAGCTAATATTCGTACCTAGTGCGCGTGCCGCTCCCTACCCCGCCCCCAATCCCGCAGTTGCCAGTAGCTGCCTTGTGCCCATACCTTGCCCCGCCAATTCGTTAAGGTCCCAGGTCCTTAGAGCACGCGCCTCTCCTTACAGTACCCTTTGTGCACGCCGCCCCTTCCATTGCCATCAGGTACCTTGTGCGCCAACCTTGCAGGCCAAACCATTAACGTCTGGCGTCCTTTGTGTGCGTGCCTCTCCTTCTAGCACCTATCAGGCGCCCCTTCTACCCCGTGCCTTCCCCCGCCGCCATTGCTCGCAGGTGCCTCGCGTGCATATTTTGACCCCCCCCCACCACCACCGCCACCGACTCCGCATTGTCAGCGGGTGCCTGGTGCGCATACCTTGTAGTGGGAATTCCTTAAGGTCGCCCTTCCAACGCGGATCTGGTTCTTGTGCTCGCTCGTCTTTGCACGCGCCCCACTCGCTCAGGTTTGAATGATGCGTTTCCTGGCAACAGGAGAATGCTCCCTTCGCCAGTTGGCAGCAGACAGGAGGATGCTCAGAGCCCAGCTCTTGAGAGTTCAATGATCCAAAAATACCCCACTGCTCCCAGGAGTGGTTACCTGGGTACTCTGTGCCCTTTATCCCTGTCCCGGTCCCTTCCTGGGGCCGAGGACCTGCCAGTAGGACTCAGTTGCCTTGAGCCTACTGCCCGCATCCCTCACTTCACTTTGCTTGTGGGATCTCTCCGTTGCTCCTGCCCCTGGACGGAGAGCCTTCCTACAAGTACCCAGACACTTGGAATCAGCCTGGTGTTGAAACAACTCCAAGGATTTCTGTATCTTACAAGCCCTGTGTTCCGTCCAGCGATCCTGCCTTCAATTTGAGGCACAGGTACTGCAGCAATCCAGTGCTGTGTGCTCGCTATACCAGAATGTCCGGCAGCACAGCAATTGCACGGATCCTAAGGACTCTCAGAGAGGCCCTGAAGGAGGTAATCGCCTTTTTGGGGCCCAGAACACCCAGCTCTACCCCACACTCCCATCCAGAGATCATGTCGAGGGCCCTCATGGAGAGTGGGGCAAGGATGCCTGAGCAGGACAAGGACCCCAGAGTCCAAGAGAAGCCTGATGATCAGAAAGGGGGCCCTGAGGGCACCAGGGATGCACGGTCTGCATTTAGACCCCTGAGGGACAGTGGAGGCCTCTCTCCCTTCGTACCCAGGCCCGGGCCCCTTCAGAGAGACCTCCATACCCAGAGGTCAGAAATCCCATCTGACAAGACATCCCAGTCCTCCAGGATGAGCTGCTGCGTCAAACACAATTCCATCTCCAGCTCCTACAGCTCCACGGGAGGCTTCCCGTGGCTAAAGAGGAGGAAGGGGCCAGCCTCATCCCACTGTCAGCTGCCCCTCACTTCTTCAAAGACAGTGAGTGAGGTCAGCCCTCAGGCTGTCTCTCAGGGTCAGGCCCAGTGTGAAAAGCAGCAGATTCAGCATCTGGGGAGAAACCGGCCCCCAGGAGTGGCTCCCCGACATATCAGGCCTCTAGTCCTCGTAAACGAAAGTTCCCTCTGCTGCCACGCAGGTATGGGGAGCCTCTGATGCTGCCACCTCCCTTACAGCTGGGATTCCTGGTCACCACTGAAGACCTGGACCTGGAGAAAAATGCCGAAATTTTGTGGCTAAACAGTGCACTGCAGGGTGAGGAAAAATCTCTCTGGGATTGCAGAGCCTCACTGCTTTCCCATGCTTTGTCCTCACCGGCAAGAGGGACATCTTTTCTCTTCTTGCTGTCCCTAAAGCACCCAGCACGGAAGCACAGCAGGAGAGATGCAAGTCCCAAGATGGTCTGGACCCCATGGCCCTCCAAGCATCTGCTGCAGGGTCCCCTCTAGACCTCCTGCGTCGGGGAGGAAGTGAAGGTCAGCAGGTCCCCTATTCTCCTCCTCAGACACCCTTTCTGCCACCTCTGCACACTCCTGGGACTCAGCCTAGGCCTCATTGTCTGCTCCAACACAGCCAGCCCAGGGCACCACAGCACACTCAGCCACAGGGGCTTCCTTACCCACCACTTCCACCTCAAGCCCCCGCACCAAAAGAAAGTCTGGGAAGAAGATGAGGCCTGGGCTGCAGACCTGGCTGGGAGCCTTCCTGACCCATCTTCTGCCTCTCCCACCACCACCCTGGCCAGACAGAGGGTCAGTGGTCCCACCTCACTACTGAAACTTCCCATTACCGATGCAGCCACCACCCAGCCCAAACCTGTGGTCCTTCATGGAAAGCAGCAGGGAACCCACGGTTTGAAGCAGCCTCATCCATATTCCCATCCAGCTGCTTCAGCTGCAGCCCAGGCCTCATCTTCTGCTCCAAGACAGCCAGCCCAGGGCACCACAGCACACTCAGCCGCGGGGGTTTCCTTACCCACCACTTCCACCTGGAGCCTGGCTGGGAGCCTTTCTAACCCATCTTCTGCCTCTCATGCCAGCACCCTGGCCAGACAGAGGGTCAGTGGTTTTGCCTTACTATAGAAACTTGCCACTATCACTGCAGCCATCACCCAGCCCAAACCTGTGGTCCTTCATGGACAGCAGCAGGGAACCCGCACCTTGAAGCGGGTTCATCCATATTCCTGTCCAGCTGCTTCAGCTGCAGCCCAGGCCTCATCTTCTGATCCAAGACAGCCAGCCCAGGGCACCACAGCACACTCAGCTGCAGGGGTTTCCTTACTCACCACTTCCACCTGGAGCCTGGCTGGGACCCTTTCTAACCCATCTTCTGACTCTCTCATCACCACCCTGGCCAGACTGAGGATCAGTGATCCCACCTCAGTACTGAAACTTTCCGTGACCGCTGCAGCCATCACCCAGCCCAAACCTGTGATCCGTCATGGACAGCAGCAGGGAACCCGCGGCTTGAAGTGGGTTCGTCTGTCTTCAGATCCAGCTGCTTCAGCCTTGAGCACCCCCACCAAAAGAAAGTTGACCTGGGATACAGGCCCAGCTGGGACCCTTTCTAACCCATCTTCTGCCTCTCTCATCACCACCCTGGCCAGACCGAGGGTCAGTGGTCACACCTCACTATGGAAACTTGCCGTTATGGCTGCAGCCATCACTCAGCCCAAACCTGTGGTCCTTCATGGACAGCAGCAGGGAACCCGCACCTTGAGGCAGGTTTGTCCATATTCCCATCCAGCTGCTTCAGCTGCAGCCCAGGCCTTATCTTCTGCTCCAAGACAGCCAGCCCAGGGCACCACAGCACACTCAGCCACAGGGGCTTCCTTACCCACCACTTCCACCTCGAGCCAGGCTGGGACCCTTTCTAACCCATCTTTTTCCTCTCCCCGTGATGCACGTGCTGCCTCCTCGGACTGTACACCTGCCAAAGTTAGGCGACTGCGTTAAACAAGGTCCAGAAGAGTTTTCTCTAGGTTTCCTTCTAATATTTTTCTAGTTTCGTATCTTGTGTTCAAGTCTCAGATCTATCTGGAGGTGATGTTTGTATACGGTGAGAGAAGAAGTGTCCAGTTTCATTCTTCGGCATGTGGCTATCCAGCCCTCCCAATACCATTCACTGAAGAGGGTGTCCTTTCCCCAGTGTGTGTTTCTGTCAGCTGTGTCAAAGATCAATTGGCTGTGAATATGTGGCTGCCTTTCTGGGCTCTGTCATGTGTCCCATTGATCTATGTGTCTACTTTCCTGCTAGTGCCATGCTGTTTTAGTTACCACGCACTTGTCAAAAATTTTGTCGTTCTAATTTGTAGTGAAATGGGGTGCCTCTAGTTTTTTTTCTATTTGCTGAGGAAGGCTTTGACTCTGAGCTCTTTTTTGGTTCCATATAAATTGTATGATTTTTTAATTCTGTGAGTGATTACACTGGTATTTTGGCAGGGGTTGTATTAAATCTCTAGGCTGCTTTGGGCAGTATGGTCATTTTAATGCTATGAGTTTCTTCCATCCATTAGCATGGGATGATTGTCCATTTCTTTCTGTCCTATTAGTTTTTCATCAGTGTTTTGTAGTTTTTCTTGATGAAATCTTCAAACTTCTTGTCAAATTTATTCTGTGGCATATCTTTTTTTCGTTTTGTTGCTACTGTAAATCGGATTGCCTTCTTAATTTCCTTCCCAACTAGACCATTATTGGTGTATAGAAATGCTGCTGATTTTGGTACATTGATTCTGTATCCTGCAATAACTGTATTTATTTATTGATCAACTCTAGGGGTTTTCTGGTGGAACCTTTACATGTTTCTAAATACAAGATCATATCTTCATCAGATAAGGATAACTTGATGTCCTCTTTCCAATGTGGATGGCTTTTGTTTTTTCCTCTTGCCTGATTGTGTGATGTTGAATAGCAGTGGTGAGAATGGGCATCCTTGTGTTGTTCCTGTTTACAGAGGAAATGCTTTCAACGTTTCCTCATTATGTAGTAGGTTAGGCATGGCTTTGTCATAAACAGCTTTCATTATTTTCAGGTATGTTGGTTGTGTTTTTTTTCTATTTTAGATGAAGTATTGCTCTTTTCACCCAGGTTGCAGTGCAATGGCAAGATCTCAGTTCACTGCAACCTCCGTCTCCCAGGTTCCAGCAATTCTCCTGCCTCAGAGTCCTGAGTGGCTGGGTTTACAGGTGCCCTCCACCATGCCCAGCTAATTTTTGTACTTTTAGTAGAGATGGGGTTTCACCATGTTGGCCAGGCTGCTCTTGAATTCCTGACGTCAGGTGATCCACTCACCTCAGCCTCTCAAAGTTCTGGGATTACAGGCGTGAGCCACACGCCCAGCCATTTTCAGGTATGTTTCTTTTATGCCTAGCGTGTTTGTTCCTTTTTCAGGTTATGGCCTCACTCCATCTTTCATGTTGGAGTGCAGCGGCAACATCAGAGCTACAGCTTTGAACTCCTGAGCTCCAGCCACCTCAGCCTCCCAAGTAGCTGGGACTCTGGGTGCATGTCACCAGAGCTTGGTAATTTTTATTTATTTATTTTTTTTTTTGTAGAGATCTATGTTCCTCAGGTTGGTCTTGAACTGCTGATGTCAAGTGATCCTCCCAGCTCAGCTTCCCAAAAGCAGTGGGTTTTCAGCATGAGGCAGTGCCTGGCCCAGAGTCACATGTTAACATCACCTCCTCACTGCCGGGCTCCGATTTTGGCAGTGACTGAAAACCCTAAGGGAAAGTTTCTGGTCAGGCCCTGGCCAGCCTGTGAACCGGGGGGAAATGGAAAGATGGCATGTGGATGGTTCTTTTGGAAAACTGGCCAGACAAGTGCTAGATGCTGTTCCCTGGAATATGGGACCATGAGATGTCCAATCCAGCTGCCTGGTCCAGGGCCTCTGGCACCATCTAGTTTGGGAGCTCACCCAGAAGCGACCTCAGTTGCCCAAAGCAGCTGATCTTCCTACCAATCTGGTCCCATCTGAGAGATGTAACTGGGCCCTGTCCTCCAGGAAACCATTCCTGTGCATGCCTGTCTTTGTCCTCAC